CTATTGCAGCGGTTCTCAACCTGTGGGTCGCGACCCCTTTGGCGGTCGAACGACTCTTTCACAGGGGTCGCCTAAGACCATCCTGCATATCAGATATTTACATGACGATTCATAACAGTAGCAACATTACAGGTATGAAGTAGCAACGAAAATAATTTTATGGTTGGGTCATAACATGAGGAACTATATTTAAAGGGCCAGAGGGTTGAGAACCACTGATCTTCTGCGTGCTTCCTGTGACAAGTCTCAGTTACTTTCATTTTCTGCCTGTAGCTGGCACAGCCACGACAATTAATATCTGTGGAACTGATGAATTCGTATTAAAAAACCATTTCACTGTTCAAAAATCTGCCGTACTCTAGCAATAATAATCCTGAAGTCATGAGTTGAATGTGCTAGTTATATTTTTTCCTTTTTAATAAACGTGTTTTCATTTACAATCTTTACAATCCTATATTTTTTGTAATTTACATGACAATATATGGGCAATTATTTTTTAAATCTAAGTCTGGCAGCACCTAAAATCAGTGCAGCTGGAGTACCAGTGGGGGCGTCCTTGGCCATGAGAAGTGTGTGTGTCTGGGCTTCCATTGCCTTATAGGCCCGCCACTCTCACCCCACCCTTCCCCCACCCCCGCACTCCTTACCTGTGATCCTGCCCACGGAGCCTCCCAACCTCCTGCCTGCCTCGCCAGCCGCGTGCGCGCCCAGGCTGTGGCCAATGATGTGCACGTTCTCCAAGCTGTAGCCCATCTTGGTCTGCGGAGGGATGGCACGTCAGGGTCCCCAGGCCCCGGTGAGGAGGCCCTGGCTCAGGGAAGGGGATGGGGACAGGTCTCTGCAGGAATGACCTGGGTCCTGAACCACCTAGGACAGCGTGACCGGACCCTGGGCCAGCGCAGTCTCCAGAGACCTGAGTCGTGGTGTGCAGGCTGGGGCGGCAGAAAGGAGGGGGGAAGAGGGGGCTTCGACAGTGCTGACCAGCGGCAACTGTGTCCACTGCACGCGACCTGGGGAGCCTGGCTGGGCGCTGCCTGCTCCATCCACACCCACTGCAGCCTCCCTCCCCTTCCGCAGGGCCTGGGCCTGCCTGGAGAGCCTGGGTAGCTGGCCCAGCTCTGGGTGCTCAGGAATAGACCTTCCAGAAGGCTGTAAGGGGCTTTCCCTTTCTGAGAAAGAAGACCCATCTTCTGGGCTGACCATTCCCAGAACAGCCTCCAAGAACGGCTTATTTCAAAAGGGGAAACCGAGGCCCAAAGTGTTTCCTTTGCCCCAGGCACCACTAGGAATCTTCAGGACACTCCAGGAGGGGAAGGCTGCAGTTTCATTTTAGGAAACGCCCCTCTGTGTGTCCAGGCTTCCAGGCCCAGCCCCTGTGCACCAGTCCCCAGGCTGCCTCTGGGTGCACCAGGTCTGCCTACCCCTTCGGGCCACACCCCACAGGATTGAGCTGAGGAGGATTTACCGACAGCCCTTCTATTAAGAACGCTATCTCGGCTCCCACGACTCGAATGTTGTGGACGGCTTGGTTGTAATCTGTCCTGGCCCCACGCCTCCAGTCCACGCAGATGCAGTTCACCTTCTCCACCTTAAACATTCTCTGGGGAGAAAAAACAAGAGGGAGAATCCAATGTATTAACAGGCACAGGCCGCACACTCCAGAGACAGGAATTCACAGCACCAAGCATCTCATGTGTGTCAGAGTTTTCATATTCCTCCCACTTGTCCTAATCCTCACCACTCCACCAGGAACCGGTACCTGATCCCCACTTAACAGATGTGAACACTGAGGCCTGGATGGAGTAAGTGACTGGCCAAAGGTCTCCCAGATGGTTATTGACACAGCCAGGCAGAAAAAGGATC